TTCTAATGCTCCACGAAACATTGCACTACACAGTATTCATTAAAACCAAGCTCTCTAAATGACAGGAATAGGTAAAAAAAAAAAACCTTGAAAGGTTTGAAATTTTAGGGGATAAACCAAAAAGTCATAGATGCTTACAGACTGGGCTCCATTAATTTAACTAATGATAATGCAGAAATTTATCAGAGACATCAAAGGCTCCATAAATACTACATTTACATTCTATACTTGTCACCATGGAGAGAGGTTGCAGAGGAAAAGTATTTGGAATGGGATAGGTTGAAATTATAAAAGTTATATAGTTGTTAAAAATGTTTGTTTTTAGGCACAAGAAATGTTAGCATTGAAGTTAACACAACAAGCAAAAAAATCAGAACGGATTTATTGAACTGTAAGTAAGGCTTTGAAATAGGTGTTCTTTTACAAATTCTAAATTATAATCTACCATAAAAATATTTTGGATCATTTTAAGAGTTTTAATATATTAATTATTACATGATTGGTAAATCTCTTCTAAAATTAATGCCTGTTTATTTTGTTTTAAACATGTTCATACCTATACATAAACCACTACAACTGTGTAACAAAAATGTCTTTTAAAAACATCTGATATTAATGAGAGCACAACTACAATAAAGGGGTTTCTGGGCAATGTAACAAACAGGACTCAAAAAACACATGCTCTTTTATTATACATTAGGTTGAACTGCCTCATTTAACAATTCAGTCCAAGCATTTAATAGAATGCAAATTCATACAAATACCCATGAGTAAAATCTGCTGTGGTGAATGCTTCTGGATCTCTCTTGGTTGCCACTGACACTTCTTTAAACACTAAAAAGAATAGACCACAATATCTAGAATTTACTTTCTTTACCAAAAACACAGATTTGCATTAGTTTTATACATTAAATATTTAATACAGAAATTAAGAAAAATACAAGTGCTTCTAAGATTCTAGAGTGTGAATTCTGGAACTGTCCTGGTTCAAGACTTAGAGTCTAATTGACATGCTACTGTAGTAAGGCTACGAAGCACAATTACCTGTTAAAATTAATTTTTTAAAAAAACCAATATTCATGAAAATAGAATAGCTTTGTGGTTTTGCTCTATGAATAAAATTATTCTAATTTTCTAACATCCATTTTGCATTATGAGGGATTCTACTTAACCAAATATAAAGCAGAAATTCTTAGAAAAGACAAATCATAGTTCAAGAATAAATAAATGTATTTCTAAAGCCAAAGACTTAGTAGGAAACAAGGAAAATAAATGTGAACTCTTGAATTTTAAAAAGGGCCCTAATAAAGAATCAAGCTATCCCAGCCAGAGAGTTTGCAATTTCATTGAGATCAATCAGAAATCATTTTAGGGGGAATTAAGACTTAGCCTAATTTATTTTCCTAAAAAAAGTAAAACATTTTCCAATACTATTTTTATTTGAATTAATAAGTCACAATGCATATTCGTCTTTTTAAATGTTCCTTATTTATAA